GCAGCCACTGCACTCCAGTCTGGGCGACCGAGTGAGACTCCAACTCAAAAAAAAAAAGAGTAGATACTTTGTACCCATTTTACTGTTTTCCCTTTACAATAATCTACACAAATATACCTCAGAATTCATTTTTGGTGAGATGCTTCTTTTTGTAGAATTGCACCTCACTTTATTTTCTTACAAATAATCTTACATTATGTTTAACAGCTTCTGACAGCCTTTTTTTTTTCTGCTTTAGAGCATGTTCAGGTACTAGAATACAACTGATTTATTTGCTGTGTGGCACCTGTATTTCCATGCCAAATGTTTTCAAGTAAAATGAAATATAAATTTCAATTCTTACTTTTATATTTTAATATTTTCATTCATTAATATTACGGTTATTGCTAACAAGTTTATTTTTAAGTATTTGAAATAAAAGTTTAAGATTTTAAAATAGTGAGTATTGTGATTTGTATTCAAGTAATAATATTGGGCACAACATTTCAAAATCAACACCTTTTTCCTTGAGAGAAATACAAAATAATTTTAGTGGTTTTTTAATTAAAGGGCAGTAGAATAGTGAAAACGAGTACACTTACCCTCATGTAGAATGGGTCTCTTTGGCTCCAGATATGCAAGGTAAACAATAAACCATTTGGCTTATTTTTTTTAACTCCTTTAGAAACTCTGGTGAAAATATAGACCTATTCTCCAGAAAGTTCACATACTTACACACTCAAAATTGGGGTCAGAGTTGTTGGATTGTCCAAGGCACTCAAATAATGGCAGTACTGGCTACAGCCCAAGTTCTGTTCAGTGCTTTATCATCATAATGATAATAATAATAATTAATAATAACTATCATTTACAAAGTTTTTTTGTGGGAACCACTTTGCATCTATTTTCTCCTTTGGTCCCTTTGAAGTGGGTACTACTAGTCTCTCCGTGTTACACCTGAGGTCACGGAAGCTTACTCCAGCCCCAAAAAATGGCAGCGCCACGGCCCCACATTTCAGCATCTTAGCCCAACTTTGCTGCAGGCTTTCTGGCTCCCTTCCACTGGAGACTGAGATTCAGCCTGGCTGTCTCTCTACAGTCATACCATTTTTAAAGTATTGAAGTATGCCTGTATGTGCAGGCAAACAGCCAGTGCCCCACAGTATAAGTGCCTTTGCACTGCTCTGGTGGTCCCATCGGTCGTCCTCCAAGAACTCTGGGTCACACCGCAGTCTACAAGGAACAGATTAACTCCTGGCACTGATGGAGGTCTTCTGAACCTGGGTTTTTGAATAATTGACTTTTGCCCCTGCCTTTGAGAATGTAGCACCTCCTTAGCTTTTAAGGCCCAGCTGAGGTCTGCATTCTTCCTACTCTTTCTAACTACTTCAACCTATGTTTTATTTTTATTTTTGTATCAATATTTTTTATTATGATATTGTGGGGTACAGTTAAGGGTTAGGTATACAAATATGCTTCGTTCAGGCACCCTTGTTGATAAGAGGTGTCTC